ATTGAATATTTTACCGAAATAAATCGAATATTTTATCAAAATAAATCGATTGTCAAAATCTGTTAGGTTTAAATATTAATCGATTCACCTATATCGAACTAAATCGAATATTTTTTATTAAAATAATCGATTCTTTTTATATCGAATTATATCGAGTAAATTTTACCAAATATTCGATTATTTTTATATCGAACTAAGTGGATTATACTTAATCAAAATAATCGATTCTTATATATCGATTTAAATGATATATTTTATCGAAATAATCGATTCTTTTATATCAAATTGAATTATTTCGATAAAATATTCGATTCTTTTATATCAAATTGAATCGAATATTTTATCAAAATAATCGATTGTTATATTTCGATTTAAATAATATATTTTATCGAAATAATCGATTCTTTTATATCGAATTAAATCGAATATTTTATTGAAATAATCGATTCTAATGTATCGAATTAGATCGAATATTTTAACGAAATACTCGATTTGTTTATATCTAATTAAATCGAATATTTTATCTACAATATCATTATAAATAATGAAATAAATCGATTATTATATTGTAAAATAAATCGATTCTTGCATATGGAAATAAATAAATTAAAAATTGTAGTAACTTAAAAAATCGATTTAAATTGAAATATAACGAGAAAAAATGCAAATATTCGATATATAATCGTAATAAATCGACGAAATTTATCGCAATATTTGGAAAGTGAGCGAGAGAGTGAGCTCTTTTATTTCCAACTTCCTGGTTCAATACAGTGAGCATAGTGAATATGTTTCACGATTCTTTTTAAGAAAAAAAACGAGCTTATTACATGAATAAACAATTGGATGAAGGCATATAATGATATTCCTCGCGTTGGTTGACAATATTATACATATGCATATAAAGAAGAAAAGATTCTTCCCAAGGAGATTTTACGACATTGCAATGGTTCATGATTATATCTGTCGTCTCTCTCGCTCTGTTCTTACAACAGGTTGGAATATTTATGTTATCGCGAAATCTGAGATACAATACTGTCCGATCAGGTTACCTCTTATGTTTGTTTCATGCTCTCCATACCAAAGTCACCTTATCCCCAAGTCGTCTCTTCTCTCAGACAATCGCATGGTATGATGGCAATTAGCCAACTTCTGCGCTATACGTATATATGTATAAAGAATATAAAGAATAAAATTGTCAAACAATTGCGTGAAAAAAATATTTTTTTTACTATAATTAAATAAATCGAGTTTCAGTATCGAAATAAATCGAAAGTTTCACCGATTTATCTAATATCGAAATAATTCGATATAGTTTCAATCGACTTTTAGTATCGAAATAAATCGATATAGTTTCAATCAAGTTTCAGTATATCGAATTAAATCGATAGTTTTGCCGATTTTTATAATATCGATATAACTCGAAATTTTCACGTTACTTTCAGTATCATATCGACATTTTAGATAACGATATCAATTTTCTTTTCTTTCGCGATTAAAATAAATCGATATTTTAGAATTTTAATATCAAAATATATCGATATTTTCAAGACCTTCTTTTCTATTAATCAATTATCGAATTTTGAAATAAATCGATCTTTTTTTTAAAAAACGAGTTTAAAAATAATTGAAATATTTGAGATATAGAATTCCTTTTAGTAGAGAAAAGAAATTTATTTTTTTTCCTAATATTTTTTTAAAATGAAACGATAAATACACATTGAGAGAAATCGTCGAGATTTATGGGGAGGGGGAAGAGAGAGAGAGAGAGAGAGAGAGAGAGAAAACTATTGAAATAAGTGAAATTTTATTTGATTTTTTTTCTAATATTCAAATCGAGTAAACAAGTGAGAAGATTAAATCACTTTAATTATAAAGAATTTGCGAATATAATTTTCAATTCCTTTCACTCGCGGTTATGAATCATCAATTTCTGATTGAATCACATCCGGTATTCTTAAATGTGTTTGCTGTATGTGTGAGCGGGCATCGCGTATATATATATATATATATATATATATATATATATATATATATATATATATATATATATATATATATATATATATATATATATATATTTACGTTCCTTAGAGAGATAGAATAGTGCACGCGACCAATGCACTCAAGTAAGACTTGTTTTAAGGCACGACTAATTCATAGGTGAATTTAGAAAGTTTTCTATGGAGTACGTATTGCGTCTAATTGTTTCATTCCTTTTTTTACGTAATTCATCTCAGTTGATTTTTTAATCGAGAAAACCGGAAATGTCCTCCTGTATTTTTTTTATTAAATCTAATATATGTAGTTAAGTTGCACGTAATATTTGTAATATTAGCCTCACAAAAAAGGATATTCTAAAAATATCATCAGGATATCCTACACAAATTTAGGATAGGTATCCTACAAAAAGTTCACAGGATATCCGGAGGATATGCGAACCACAACTTTTAAGTCTTTTAAGTCTAGGACATCCTGAGGATATCCTAAGGATATTTTTAGGACCTCCTTAAGGGATATCTTAGGATATTCCAAAGATATTTCCATTACATTTTATAAATATTTTTAGGATATCCTAATGATATCTCTGGAATATTAAAAAAATATAAGCATGTTTTATTATTAATTTATCCAATTTATTCTTATAAATATTTTAATTTGTAGTTACTCTATGTATATCCTGGGGATAACCTAAAGATATCCCAGGAATCATTTTAAGAATATGCCAGGGTTAACATAATAGGATACCCTAGGAATAATTTAAGAAAATCTCAGAGAAAACCTATAAGGATATCTTAATGATATCCTAAGGACAACATAACGATATTTTAAGAATATCCTATGGATAATCCTATGATATTTTAAGTTAACGATATTTTAAGGATAGCCTATGGATAATCCTATGATATTTTAAGGATACTCTAATGAAAACCTAATGATATTTTAGAGATATCCTAATTACAACTTTAGGATATTTTAAGGATAGCCTAAGGATAACCTAGGAATATTCTAGGAACATTTTTATGAATATCCCGGGAATAATATAATTATACCCTAGGAGTAATTTAAGAATATCCCAAAGAGAACCTAAGGATACCCTAGGGATAACCTAGGGATAATTTAAGAATATCCAAGGGGTAGCTAAGTGATATCCTTCATATATTCTAGGGATGTCCACAAAATATTTTCTGGATATGCAGACGATATCTTAGGAATATCCTCAGATATCCCAAGGGGTTAAATTTTTTATAATGTAATAAAGATGAGGGTGGGGTTAAAAATGGTTGAAAATTAATCAAAAATAGTGTGACGTAGTTTGTGAACGATCATTTACGTACACATATTTAGAAAAATAACCTTATTTGAAAAAGAGTTCTTTGCCATTTCCTTTTGCGAAAAACGATAATAAAAAAGGGAAAAAGCAATAAAATAAGTAGTAAAAAGAAATTTAACGAAACAAAGAAAATAGTTTGAGAGCAATTTGGCTACCGAGAAAAGTCAAGTGTGTATGTCAACATATATATATATACATATATATATATCTATATATATGAAATTGTAATCGGAAATCCATCTCCTTGAAATGTCAGTTCGATCAGACGTGCATTCGCCTCTTTTGTTTCCCTGCAGCAACATCGATAGATCAAGGTGCCTATGGGTTACGTAAAATCTTAAGAAATACAAAAGTTCCCGAACAATGGCGCGTATATAGTGTATTACATATGCATAAATAAATATATATATGAAATCTTTTTAAATTACACAAAAAAAAAATTAGATTCTTCAATTATTATTTTGAACGAGTATTATATGTATTAAAATTTATTAATTATCATAAGAAAAAGAAAATAATTTGCGTTATTTATATATATCTGATTCCTTTTTAAAATATCATTTTATCCTTCAGTTTACTTTCGTCAAAAAAAAATATCCGGTTTTCTTTCAAATTCTCCGTATAGATTTCTAGATACATTTAAATTGAGTGAGTCATGTTAATTTTCATGAGTTGTGTTCGATATACTCGACTGAACTCCTATTTGTATTTTTTACCTGGATACAATTTTATTTTTAGATTTTTTTAAAATATATTTAACGGTTTGCGACTACTATATGGATTTAGAAAATTTGAATTCATGGAAACTTTGTGCGAGGAAAGAAGATTGAGATTAGCTATGTGGTATATTTTTGTATTTCGTATTCTGAGTTTGTAACTAAAAAGTTTTGATGTACCCTTCAAGCTACTTTACATTACTTTTAGTTGAAGGGAAAAAAAGTCATAACTTTTAAGTAACAAAATGTTACTTTAAAATAACGAAACGAAAAGTTACTTAAAAATACCATTCGTTACTTTAAAGTAGGTTTCGATTAAAAGTAACAAAATTCACTTTAAAGTAACGAAACCTACTTTAAAATTACTTAAAGTAACTTTTAGTAACTTTAGTAACTTTTAGCGACCCTTTATTATTTGAAAGTAATATTGTATTACCAAAAAGTTATCTATCTGCTAATTAGAAATTACTTTCTGTTACCTAGAAGTAACTTTCTGTTACCTGAAAGCAACTTTTTTTTACTTAAAAGTAACATTTCGTTACATAAAAGTTATCTGTCTGATACTTATAGTAACTGTACTGTTCCTAGAAAGCAAATTTTTGTTACTTGAAAGTAACATTTGGTTATATACAAGTTTCTTGTTTGTTACTTGAAAGTAACATTTGGTTACGTAAGAATTACTTGTTTGTTACTTAAAAGTAACATTTTGTCGCGTTTAAGTTATATATCTGTTACTTTAAAAAAACCGCTTTGTTACTAAACAAAAACCGTGTTGTTACTTAAAATTAACCATACAAGTGTTTGGAACTAACTGCGATTTCAATGCACAGCAAAATGAGTGAAAGAAATTTTTTTTTTTTGTCAGCAAATTTTGAACAAAGAACAGTATAATTCCGTATCTGCAACAATATCGTAATGGATCATGCGTTTCAACTGTATAATTCTATTCTTACCTCGTGGGACACTGGGTTATTCTTATTCCGGCTTGTGTTAGTGGAATTGTTAATGGACGACAGTGAGCTGAGTGTCGCTGATCCGACACCATCGACTGCTTTGCCACTAACTTTCGTCCCTCCACCGCCGACATTTTTGTGCAGCGTCGCGGGACTCTGAAAAGCAAACAAAGAATTTTATTGTTAAACTCTTTACAAAATACAAGAAAAATTGAGTATTGTTCAAATATTTTAATTTTTAGTTCAATTTGAGTTCAATTCCAGAGCATCATTTTGATAATATTTCAGGAAAAAATTTTGCTTGAGATTAAAAAACTGCAAATTGTAGAAGTTACGGATGGGATGGTAGAGCATAAACTGATGGTGACATTAAATTATTGATTTTAGAAATGAAGTAGTGGCTTAATTGTTATTTTCGAATTTAGTGGTGGAACAACAATCACTTTTTGGTGGTTAAAATAATTCACCCTTTGCTGATTAAAATTAACTAGTTATTAAAATTAAAAGGTAAAAGAATCTGTACAATACAAAATCAAAAAGGGTTCCAAAAAGTAAAAATGGGTTAACTAATTGTTTTTGCATATTCAGCTCTCGTTGAAGTATTTGTACACAATTGTTATAATAATTCCCTAAGATCATCAACAAACTGCAAGTAGAATTAGGCTAAAAATTAAACATTTACAGTTTGTGGAAACTACGGATGAGATGGTAGAGCCTAGCATTAATATGGTAGCATTAATTTTTTGATTTAGAAATGAGTGGCTCAATTGCTATTTTCGAATTTAGTGGAGGAACAACAACCACTTTTTGATAGTAAAAATAATTTACTTTTTCACTGATCAGAATCATATAATTATCTAGAAAATTAGCATTAACCAAACATCATCAAATCCTCTAATGGAGTACCAAACTTTTAATTTTGAATTCAAATACCTAATTTAATTTTCCAAATTTATTGCTGTACTAATATAATACAATCATTATCCAGGATGATTTATTACCACTCATCAACTATTTAGAAAAAAAAAATTATGCATAATAATGTGGTAGTAATTATGAAAAAAAAATAATTTCTTCACAAAACCAGTTGTGGGTTATATACCTGCCGATTATTAGTGGGCTCAGTAGAAACTGATAAAACCAAAAGGCCAAGTGCCTTTTTCTGCTTTTTAAATGTACATATAAAGGGGAGTGAACAATTTAGTGTATTACAACAGGATATATACGACGATTTTGTAACGAGGTCGAAACACCGACATAAGATCCCACGCAAAACATGTAACTCTCACTGTGCGTTGTGCATATTAGTCAGCCACGCGTTACCCATTTCTCAAAGTCTCTCGCGATACCCGATTTGGCGAATGATAATATTCCGTTAGGTTATCCCGTCTAAGACCACCTTTAAAACATGCCTCTCCTAAATCCATAAATAAATATACCTGTAATTCACATGTACATATAGAAATTACAAGTAGTCATTTTTAATCATCCCGCGTATAAGAAAATACATATACATTTTTACAGATTCTACAAAGATTTGCAAATTACAGCAAATTTAAATATTGCTGTTAAATATCTGTAAATAACAAACTAAATACTGTAATATGTTAATTACGAGAAGCTGTTTGTTAAACAATAGCAAAAAAATATGTAAATAACAACGCAAATGTTTGTTACATCACTACTTTGTTAAAAAAGTCAAAATTTGGTGCTATTCTGATAAGTGAGTTTTACCTTGACTAAAATTTTAATTTTTCATCAGTAGAGAGTAAATTGTTTCAATCATCGGTAAGTGGTTGTTCCTTCACTAAATTCGAAAATAGCAATTGAGCCACTACTTCATTTCTAAATTAAAAATTTAATGCTTCTATTACTTAATGCTCTACCATCTCATCCGTAGCTTCCGCAAACTGCAAATATTTAATTTTTAGCCAGAATTTCAACTTGGAGTATGCCGATCATACTCGGGAATTATTAACAAATGTGTACAAAAACTTCAACGAGAGCTGAATATGCAAAAACAATTAGTTAACCCATTATTACTTTTTGGAACCCTTTTTGATTTTTATTGAATAAAGTTGTCGATTTTGTTATCGAATTGTAAAATAAGACTATAATTAGCCTTAAAACGGGTAAAATACTATGAGGGGAATGAAGAATGATTGTTACTAAAACGTTAACTTTAAAAGATTTAAAAAAAGACGCAGTACTTGATTTCAAAATTAAGAAGATGCTGCATTATGATGCAGATGCTACAAATGTTGCTGCTGTAAATAAATAAGTGTTTGCTTACAATTAAGTTGATTCAAGTAAATAAACAATTTTTTGATGGAGTAGTACTTGAAGTATGCTCCAAATGATCTGGAAATAGCAACTAAAAAGTGTTAATAATTTTCTATTACGAGAAACTGTAAACAATGTGTTAAACCACTACTGCGTTAAAGGATCAAAATTTGTTGCTACCTTGGGAACTGATACTTCTAGCTTAATTTTAATCAGTAGTTAATTTTAATCAGTAAATGGTAAATTATTTTAACCATCAGAAAGTGATTCTGTTCCACCTTCGAAAATAGCAATTAAGCCACAACTTCCTTTCTGTATAAAAAATATCGTTTCCATTACATAATGCTCTACCATCTCATCCGTAATTTCTATAATCTTTGCATTTTCGAATTCATTATTTATAATTTATTTTCGAAAACCCTATAAAAATTTTTCCTTTATTATCGATTCTTATTATTCTTTTCAATTCAAAATTCAAATTTTCAAAAATGCTTACAAAAAATTCTAATATTCTTCAAAAATTGTCTCGTTGGAACTCATTTTTAAAAAATCGAAACATAATCTTTAATACTTGAAGAATATTTTGATCTAATTCAATTTCAAATGATCCAGAAGTATATCGATGAAAGGAAGTGAGTATTATCTAAGTTATCAACAGAAGAAGACAAAAAACTGTAGAAGAAAAAAAATTGTGTAATCAGTTATATAAATATATAATTAAGAATAATACTTTAGGATGATGCTATTTGTATGGGCAATTATAACGATCTTTTTCTCCAACACAAAGAAAACAATTTCACTTTTTTTTCTCGATTACCCTCGTAATCTGTTTTTTCTTTATTTCTTTCTTTTTTTAATGAAAACTCATCGTGACCTAGTGAAAAATTAGAAAATTAATTTTATTTTCAATAATTGAATTTCCGCGTGTCCTAAATCGGAAACAAAAGAGATGACGTGGCATTCGTGGGTGGATTTTGATGTTACAAACAAAATCCTTCTTATGTATAATATCAAACATGTTATTGCACGTGTTCACAAATAATAATAATGAATATCGCAAGAACCCATTGTATATAAATGTGATTTTTTTCTGATTAACGAAACAAAGTGAATCTTTGAAAAATTACCAATACTGATTGTGAGCGTCTTATTTTCTTAGGATGAAGAAATTGTTTCATTTTGTATTGGTACATATATTTAAATATATTTAGTATTTGTATATATATATATTTTTTTTATTTACTTTCTATATATATATTTTTTATGTTCTATATATTTTTTTTATTTATTTTCTATATAATATATTTTTTTTTTCTTTAAATGATGAAAAATTGAGTGAATCTATTGCGCGCAGGAGATGTGCCATTTTCTTCACTATTATATACATAAAGAATGGCATAGCTTGTTGCTATCTGGTGCGGAACACGACTTGCGCAATAAAATTTTTTTAAATGTTTTTTTTCTCCCTTTTGTACTAGAAAGCTAAACAGAAACTGCGAGTGTCTTAATTCTATAGGACGATATTGCATCGCAATGAATAAGTCAAGTAGGAAAATAAAAATGAATTTGAAAAGGAAAATAATATAAGCGTGAACGGAAAAAGAATTTTAAACTTTTAAAGCAACAACAAAGATAATTTTATGGTAACCCAAAGATATAACATTTAAGTAACAAAAAAAGAATTTTAAAGCAACATAAAAATAACTTTAAAGTAACAAAGACTTACTTAAAAGTACCTTTCGTTACTTGAGCAACTTTTGTTACTTTAATGTAACTTTCTGTTATTTAAAGTAACTTTTGTTACTTTGGTAATTATCCAGATTACCGTTACTTTAAAGTAACTTTTCGTTACTTTAAAGTAACATTTTCTTACGACCTTTTTCGTAAAAGTAACCGTTTTGTCACTTAAAAGTAACTTTTTGTTACTTGGAAATAATATTTTGTTACGTAAAAGTTATTTGTTCGTTACTTGAAAGTAACATTCTGTTACTTAAAAGCGTCTCTTTATTACTTGAAAGTACATTTTATTCCCATAAGTTATCAATATATCTGCTACTTAGAAATAACTTTCTGTTACCTAAAAGTAATTTTCTTTTACTTAAAAGTAACATTTGGCTTCTTAAAAAAGATTGTTTGTTACTTAAATGGACATTTTGTTACTTGTAAGCAACTTTTGGTTTCTTGAAAGTAACAATTTGTTACGTAAAAATTATCTATCTGCTACTTAGAAGTAACTTTTCGTTACTTCAAAGTAACATTTTGTTACATAAAAGTTATTTGTTTGATACTTATGTATTGTTTCTTGAAAGAAAATTTTTGTTACTTTTAAAGTATTATTTGGTTACGTAAAAGTTACTTGTTTGTCACTTAAAAGTAACATTTTGTAACGCAAAAGTTATCTATCTGTTACTTAAAAAAACCGCTTCGTTACTTATAAATAACTTTCTGTTCATTCAAAGTAACATTTTGTTACTTAGAAGTAACCTAGTTTTGTTACTTGAAAGTAACATTTTATCACTTAAAAGTAACAGTTTGTTACTCAAAAATTACCCACGTAGAAAGATTTCCTGAAGTTTTAACACAAAGTTAATTTTAAAATAACAAAAAAAAAATAATTTTAAAGCAACAAAAGATAACTTTTAAGAAACTGTTAGAATTTGCTGTTATTTGTTGATTATAACAATAATTTATTGTTTTTATAATTTGTTATTATTTATTACAATTCTATTATTTGTTAATTACAATTTGTTACTATTTATTATTACAATTCTGTTATTTGTTAATTACAATTTGTTGATTACAATTTGTTACTATTTATTATTATAATTTTGTTATTTGTTACTTATAATTTGTTATTCTTTGTTATTATTTTG